AAGGGCCGTGTGATGGGGAATTGCCAACTAACCATTACCATGGCATTAATCTTGTGCACTGGGCTTACTTCCGAGGATTGATAAGTAGAGGCCTTATCGATCAATTTCAAGAACATCTCTAATAAAAATAACCATACAAGTGAGCTTAACGACGTGTTTGGAGTGTCATCCAAATCATTTGTAGGATAGTTTACCCATCCGGGATACAGTTCGTTTATGGGATTTGTTTATTAGGGATTGTAAGTCAAACTCAAGGATATTTTGAATCAACTAAGAATACCTTATGGGTAAATTCTGGAGGCCATACAGGATAAGTTTAAAAAGGCTGTAAGTCTAGTGGTCATTAAATCGTTTGAGAAAGTCTCTTGAACAATCGGCACAAATCTTGTGCGTTAACATAAAAGGCTTTAAGGGCTTATTGTAGAGATCTTATGGATCAATTGTGACATTTTTATAGGACAATTCACCATACTTCTTGGATCAGAGTCTTTGTGAATCACCTCCAGATAGCTTCAGATGCCATTTCTCGTGTAACATTTGAAAAGGGCCTATCCTCGTTGATCGATTCTCTTCATCGACTTTCTCTTTGGCTTACCAAGTAAGGGTTTAACAACCTTGCTCACAATAAATTATCATTTTTTGCATGGTGGAAAAGATATACCATGTAGGGGAAATGGATGTATTGTCAGCCTAAATGTCCCTAATTTGGACTCTAGTCTAGTCTAGTCTAGTCTACACATACACAGCCAGTACTTGAAAGAATCCTGGAAAATGATACATCTATCATTTTTCTTGTCATTATTAATGCCTGCTGCACATCAAGGATGTGAAACAAACAATAAAGCGGCCAGGCCTACTGTGTAGCGTTTAGTTAATTTTTGTGGAAGTGAATGTTTACCATGTCTACTTAATAAGTATAGACAGTGGTTAACATTTAATCCACAGGTAATCAAAGAGCGGGGACATACCGTACCAACCGCTCCGTATGCTGGATTTGAAAATAGGCTATATAAATCGTTGGGAGTGACAGAGCTAAGAAAGTTAATGTACACTCCTTGGTTGTCCGATCTCCTGGGATGGAACACAGGTATTTACCCCTTGTGTTCGAGCGAACAGTCCTCCCTCCGTACAAGCGTGGTCGGCACCGCCAACCCACTGCCATCCCTCAATCGATCCAGCCGACCTCAGTCGAAGGACAACAGAGAGCGGTGTGCGGGCGTAACCTATACGGAGGGAATGCTGTATTCGCCTAGGTTATAGCGCCCTTGCTCGCTACCATTTTCTTCTAGCGGTTGGGACCTGAGCACTAACTCTTGTCCTAGCCCTATATGGCATATGGTTATAGCGCCATTACTCGCTTTCTGAAAAGAGAAGAAGGGAAGGGAAGGAGAGGAAAAGGACTTGGGAAAAGGAAATGCGGAATTCCTTTCCTCATTAGTATTTGTATCGTCAACTTTTATGAAAACTATATAAATCATTTTTCCTTGGTCAGAGGTATTATTACGACATTTGAATAAGATTGTCTTATCATTTGTTATTCAAAATTTAATGTTATAATGATCAACATAGCTTTGAATTATCTAATATAAATCGGTAACACTGTCCTGCAACCGATTATTTTTCTAATCCGAAAACTAAAAGTTACGAAAAAGCACTTAGGCCTTCATTAAGTTCCACTTTCACGCGACGTTCAATGTTTCGCGGTTTGCTCTTTACGCATTGTTCAGGCTATCATAACAAGCTATGACCAACGTGGCGATTGCTTAAGCCCTGGTTAAACAAGTAAACAAGTTATTAAAATGAAATCATGTTCCCGAAAGCAGTCAACAATGTATCTTAAACCAGATCAAGCGTGCGCCCTATTTTTCTAAACATTCCAACGCGGTCCGCCCAATATCTATCAATTACGTTTTTCTACAATAGTAGCCTGGGATAAATCCTAATTCGACCGACACGTGTTTGTTGAAACATTATATTCTGCCTAATATCAGTAGTCAGTAGTCATTAGGAAACCTGTTACTATATTACCACATATGTATCCGTCTTTCATGAATTTGTCCACTGACTGGCAGTGGCATTATGGATAATATCCTCCTGGAACCATCTTTTATATAAATAATTTCAAGAAGCTTAAATCCGGGAGTTAGAAGGTGACAGCTCTATCACAACTCCTAAAGCCCATTTCAAGAACGCAAGCATTCCGAAGCTTTTTTCGTATATGATAAGCCCCGCTCCAATACATTTCAATGTAGGAATCATTAATAATGTACTGGGACTTTCAACCAAGCGGTATTGCTTGATTGACGCGTATTTAATGAGTTGGAAATGTTTGTAGTATCACTAGTACTAGTACTCGGAAATTAAGTATGAAAATATTGTAAAGGACAAAATGGAACGAACTCACCAAATCTGGCCAAGTGAACCTAACAAGCTGGCATGATGTGTTAGAGGGGAAGTCGCAATTGTAGACGGTTCGCTTCACAGGGTAATCCGGTTTGTGGTAAAGCTTGCACGGAATGTATAGTCTTGAAATACGTCTTGGCCGTCTGATACAATCCACATATGTTAGAAAAAATCCGGAGCAACGCAAAATCCATAAATTTAACGGGATGAAATTTCTTCGCTTCCATCTACAAGCACAACACTCTTCTATCTCCCACCGGTTTGTCCACTCGTGGTTGTCTAATAATCCGTTCGTTTCTATTTGTTGTAACAACCGAGCACTTACACACGAAATTATTGATTAAGTTTCAGTTGACGGAGTTTTTCAATTCTCTTACTAAATTTTCACTAAACACTCAGTAAAATTCGCGAAAAATAAAGCAGCAGCATAAACAAAACACGTCAGATCCAATCGAGCTTACAATTAAGAATGTGTTATGAAAAAGTATGAATCATTTTTATGAGATTGCGATGCTTGACGAGAGGTAAGAACAGTAACTGAGTTTGTTGCTTCTGAATGTTTGGCTCCCGTTTGACAGTTATGACTGGCTCCCAAGTGACAAGCACATTGAGTGAGTCCGCAGTACCCAGGTTTTTAAAAGTTGATAGTACCTTTTCAATTGTTGGTCTACAATATATTGAATTGGTTCCGCTTTTTGATAGATTGAAATTCTATCCGCCTGACTATAAATCAAGCTGAACACAGCATTAGGTCCTAAGTAACATTGACAGATTCTCTTCGTCGACTTTCTATTTGTATTCCTACGGCCATGTAAAGACATTCTCAGGTATTTCCAGCACACAGATCGATAAAAGAAGCTTTTATGTAGCATCTAATACGACAAACACAACAAGAAACGCGAGAAGAAACGTTAATGTGCTCAAGTTATTAACGAAAGAGAAAGTCGACGAAGAGAATCGATCAATGTCACTTAGGACCCAATGCAATGTTTAGTTTGAAATATAGTGACTATAGGGGGGGGTTAGCAATTATCCACGGTCCATACAAATTTTAAAAATTGTGTATGGACAATTGTCTACGTAGCTTATGCACAACCCCTAAGTTAAATGGATTGGAAAGAAGTTGAGGGTTAAAAGTCCCGCCAAGAGTGAAGCCAGAAGTATAACCCCCACTGGCCGGCAGTGTTATTATGGAAGAACTCTGTCGCAATGTCGCATTTATTTTCATAGTAGACAACTTTAGTCCGGGAGTTAGAAGGTGATAGCTCTATTGCAGATCCAGCAACCCATTTCAGAATGTCCTAAATGTCCCTAATTTGGACTCATACATAAACTCAGCAATCGACTAAATGTTCAATAGCGATTAAATATATCCATTAGTACCGTCCCAATGACGTGTTCATCTAGATAAAATTGATAAATAGCAGATTTTTAGCGATGGGCGCCATCTTAGATCCATAGACCAACATTTGAACCATTTCCCCTATTTATCATTTGCATGAATATTTAGAATGGGTTAGTGAGAACATCTGCTCCAAATAATTGATTGAAAAAAAAAAACACTCTAAAACAAAATTAAGCTTTCTATGTATAGCTAAATCGTTGACTGTAATTTGCTTTTGTTTTCTGGAGCCGGAGTCAGAGTTGCGGATTTGAGTTCGGCTAGCTTCGATAATGTTGGGGATCATGTAGAGCATATATTTTTCAGCATCTAAATTGTGTTCAAAGGCACTAAAATGTCTTGAATTTTACGAAATGTAATGCAAGGACTGCAAATAGTATAGTCTAGTAAGTTATGCGATCATTCCACTGACGAATGATCTTGTATTAATTTTCCTGTAAAATCCTTAAAATACTTCTATTTGTAATATCTGTTGACTGTTGACACATATCGACTTATGACATACATTAAAAATCTGTTTCAAACATTTAAATCAAGATATTTTGAACTAAGCAATACCCAGTTACGAAAGCACTGACAAAATAAACCATCTTTTTGATATGCCGTCTTCGCCAGTATTTACAATAAGGCAGAAAAAAAAAGTATTACATTGCTACCCATCCACATAGACAAAACACAAAACTTTCGGATCATTATCAGCTAGCCCCCTCCCCAAACGCGTCTTTTCAGCTGATAAAAATTGATAACAAACTGCATGGCTCGAGAACTGAGAGCCAGAGAGAACCAAACGAGGAAATCGAGAAATTAAAACTGCTGCTGCCCTTACTCTCTCTTTCAACACCCCGAAAAAAAAACCTCGATAGCAACGGAATAAGAACACCTACAAAGCGGTCCCTTTCCCATCCGAAAAAAAAAATCACATATCGCCAAACGGCTATTTCACCCAGTATCAAGTTCGGATAGCTTCCAATCGTTCGGTGACTATTGTAGGTGTTGCTTCCGCTGACTGGCTATCGACCCCAGCTCCCAAACTTTGCGTATTGTTATATGTGATATCATTTTACAGGGACTACGGAACTCCGGGTTGAAAGTGAAATACGCTGTGTTACTCCAAACAACGAGATAATTCCAAACACAAACAATAACCACGGCTGCAAGCGAACCCTTGTGGGTGATAAGCGGATTACATAGTGGAAAGTGCACTCTGCCCACCGCCACCGATCAGGGAGGGTGTCAGTGTAAGAGGTGAAGATAAGAAGAAAAATCCATACAGAGAAGATCGCCGGTTCTGGCAAGTTTCTTCGAGGGAAGTGCAACAAATCACCGGTGAGTGGAACGACTCGTCAAGTGCATCTGAACCCCCTCGTCGGGTCGCGTGTTTCAAGGCTTTACGATCGACTAGTCGACACTATTCTTCCGCCGGGAGTCATCAGAGGATCAGTTAAGATGACTGTGGAATGCATTGAGGATTTGTATCCCACCTAATCCCGGTTGCGTAGGAAAGGACAGTGTACGTGTGGAAGTGACCATTGACAAAGCGATTTTATTTTAAGGAAGAACAAGATTTTGCAATTTTGGTGCGGTGTGCGTGAGACTGCGGGAAGAACCGTGGGTGAGTGCACGTGTGTGCGAACTGCTGAGCGATCTACAAGTAATGGATAGCGAATTTACCGAGTTCTTCAACCAGACCTGGAATAGTAAATTTCAAGGCAGTAGAGCTGGACTCAATGGCGATGGGAGCGGCGATTCGGAGGATGGAGGAGGGGGAGGCGGAGCAGGAGCGGCCGGTAGTGGTCTCACTATATTTGGCGGAGCTTCCGCAGCAGCTATGGCTGCTGCTCCGAAGCTTTCATCGAGATTGACTCAACCACCTCCTCAGCACCAACAGCAACAGCAACAGCAACAGCAGCAACAACAACAATTACAACAACAACAACAGAATCCTCTTGCAAGCTGCAACAACTCCTCCGGTGGCATTCAAAGTAGCAGGAATGATAATCTGCTCTCGGACACCCGGCATTTCCTGAACGAAATAGCCAACAGTCATAAGAGTCTGCAACAGCTTCACCAGCAACATAATCAAAACAATAGAAACCTATTTACAACATCAACAGCAACAACCGCAAGCATAGCAGCTGCCGCAACGACTGAATTACGTGATACAAATCTAGGGCCTTTAAGAAATACCAGTAGTAGCAGTAGTAGTACCAACACTAGTAGCAGTAACAGTAGTAATAGTGTCAAAAATAGTCATAGCTTTACTCGTGATACCAGAGAGTTTCCCAAGCTCAGCCATAGACTGATGCAACCGCTGAACGATGGCGGCGGAACGTCCTTCGCCGGCAGTAACAATAACAACAACAACAGTAACAACCGCCAACAGTCGACGAGCACGATGATGAACCAGCAGGACTTCAATGCATTCTGTTCATCGTTGACGGCGGCTGCGGCGGCCGCGTCCGCTGCCAGCAGTGATATGGCCGACAGCACCACTCCGCCGCCACCGCCATCGTCGATGGGCGGTGCAAGTGGGTCGACGGGGTCGTGCGGGGGAGCATCGTCCGGATCGATCAACACCGGAAATTTACTGGCGGCGGCTGCAGCCGTAGCTGCCGCTGCGGCCAGTGGAGGCGATTACATTGGGCTGACCGGTGGGCACCACCCACACGAAAAGAAGCCACCCAATTCGATTCGAGGTAAGTGAAAGGGCAGATGGGTGTACCGTACTGTTGCACGGGGTTGGTATGATTGATATTTGTGTATGTTTTCCGGTCACTAGGAACAATTTTCCCTATTTTTTTTTTTTTTTGAATTAATTTCGTGGGAAAATTTTTAGCATCTTAAGGGGGATTTCCGGTTCAATTGACCTAAACTTTGGATTTTTTTCCAGGGAACTGGTAAGAGTTAGAGACCTGAGTTTTTTGTCAAATCTTTATTCATTCTTGCTCTACAACTGGGAATTTTTTCAAGTTCAAAAATCCAAAATGGCGTCCAATATGGCAGCGGTCCGACGGGAACTTCCCAAAACTGCGAGCAGCCTAGAGGTCGCAAATCGTCACCTAGAAAGAAAATCGGCTCAGTTTCTTGAAGAGTATAGTTCAGAGAATGGAATGAACTAGAATCTTTGAAAAATCTCAACATTTGACAAAATGGCGGGCATTTGAAAAAAAAAGTCATTTACCTAGCTACCGCCATTTTGTCAAATTTTGAGATTTTTCAAAGATTCTAGTTCATTCCATTCTCTGAACTATACTCTTCAAGAAACTGAGCCGATTTTCTTTCTAGGTGACGATTTGCGACCTCTAGGCTGCTCGCAGTTTTGGGAAGTACCCGCCGGGCAGCCGCCATAATGGACGCCATTTTGGATTTTTGGACTTGAAAAAATTCCCAGTTGTAGAGCAAGAATGAATGAAGATTTGACAAAAAAACTCAGGTCTCTAACTCTTACCAGTTCCCTGGAAAAAAAATCCAAAGTTTAGGTCAATTGAACCGGAAATCCCCCTTAAAATCCAATATCCATCCATTATAAAATTATATATTTTCTAAAGATTAAACAACTCCCACCGGAAATTTGGACAGCTTCCACAAGAAGATTGGACATCTTTTAGCAGAAATTTTGAAAAATTCAAAGGAAGTTTGCTGAAGTTTCAGAGAAGCAATATAATCGTCTTCTAGAAGAAGGTTTAACAACTTTCAGAGGAAATTTAAACATCTTTCACAGTAATTAAACTGAAATTTCAAAGAAAATTTAGACAGCTTTCTAATTAAACTTAGTATAATTTAAGGATCAAATTCAGAGGAACTTTGGACAACTTACTTAGGAAATTTGGCCAATTTCTCGAAGAAGTTTAGACAACTTTCAGAGGAAGTTCAAAAACTTGCACAGTAAGAGCAGTTCCAAGCCAAATAGCAAAAAAAAAATAAACAAATTTTATATTGTACCTCTCGAAGTTCCATGAAACTTCACATAATTGTTAGCTAGAGGCAATGAACCAAGTTTGTGCTAAAACTCGGCCATTTCGACTCTCGCCGAATTTTCCAAAATTGCACATTCGATATTTTTCAATGACGGCTCATACAATAGAAATGACGTCCGAAACAAACTTGTCAGAAACTGGTTTTCCTTTTCAGGAAAAAAATACATACAGATATAAAATCACATATTCTCATCAAAAAAATTAAATGTTTAAAAGCTCCAATAACTAACAAAAAAAGGAAATTTTTCAAATTTCAAATCATATGTTTATTTGAAAGTTTATCGCAAATGCTTTTTTTTTTTAGATGGACACAATGGACACTTCAAAATTGGTAAAATTGCAGAACATCAACTTTTAATACAATTTTAAACGGTTTTTTTTCAACAAATAGTTGTTCTTGTTTTTCATGCAGAAAACACATTTTTAGTCCATAAATATTGCGTGAAAAAAGTTTTAAAATGTTTCTAAAAGTTAATGTTTAACGAAGTTGGTCACTTTTGAGCTGCCATTGTGTCCATTTAAGAAAAGATAGCATTTACGATAAGCTTTTAAATAATCATAAGATTCAATCTGAAAAATTTGTTTTTTTTTTGTTATTGAAGTTCTTAGCAGTTTTTCTAATTTTCAACGAAAATTTGTGGCTTTTTTTTCAGTGCACATTTTTTTCTGAATATGAAATTCAGTTTCCTACAACTTTGTTTCAGATCTCATTTCGATAAGATTAGTTATTTTGATGCTATGATTTATTGAAAAATACCGAATTCGCCTTTTTGAAGATGAGAGTCAAAATGGCTGACTACCGGCACAAACTGGATTCATTGCCCCTAGCGAACAATTAGGCAAAGTTTCATGGAATTCGGAAGGGGAAAATACAATTTATTCGTCAGTGAGCATGGAGCCGCTCAGTAAGTTTGCTGAACATTCAAAAGAAGTATGGAAAACTTCTAGGATTAGGATGGATGACTTCCAATGTTTGGTTCACTCCCAGAAGAGGTTTCGACAAATTTCAATGGAAAGTTGGGCTACTTTGCACAACTTTCATAGGGAGTTTCCGTAACTTTCAAAGGTAGTTTTAACAACTCTAATAGGTAATTTGCACAACTTTCTGAGGAAGTTTACAAACTTCCAGAAGAAATTTGGACAACATTCACAGTTTAATGAATTTTCAGAGGACATTTTGGACAACTTTCACAGGGGATGTTCAGAACTTCCAGGGGAAGTTTCAACAACTTAAACGGGAAATTTGAACAGTTTACTGAGGAAAAGTGAGCAGCTTTCAGAGGAACTTAAACTCCTTCCAGATGAATTTTGGGCATTTCATAGGGGAGGATTAGACCGCTTCCCGAAGAAATTTAAATAACTAACTAGACAACTTTCAAAAGAAATTTGAACAACGACCAGAGGAATTGTGGGCAACTTTCACAGATGCTTTTCAGAACATGCAGAGGATGTTTGAAAAACTTAAAGAAACTTAAAGTTAACTAAGACAAATTCCTGAGGAAGTTTGGGTAACTTTCAAAGACAGCTTGCTGAACCTCCATAGGAAGTTCAAAAAACTGCCATAGGAGCTATGAACAACATTCACAGGGAATTTGCGGAACTTACAGCGGAAGTTTAAACAACTTATGAAAAATACTTATACTATTTCCAGAGGAAATTTGGACAACTTTCAGAGGAAGTCTGATGCACTTGCAGAGGAACTTGAACTTCTTCCAGATGAAGTTTGGACAACTTTAAAAGAAGATTGGACAGTTTTAAGAGGAATTTTAGGTAACTACCTATGGAAGTTTAAACAACTTTCAGATATAACTTGAACAACTTCCTAAGGAATTTTGGACAACTTTCAGAAGAAGTTTGAAGAACTTCCAGAAGAATATTGGCAACTTCCAGAGGAAATTTGAATAACAACCTGAGGAATTTACGTCAGCTTTCAAAAGAAATTCGAACAATTTCCTGAGAAATTTTGGACAATTTACAGAGGAATATTGATCAATTTAAAGAAGGTTGAACAACTTCTAAAAGAAGCTTAAACACCTTACAAAGGAAGCTTAAACATCTTCCAGGAATCAACTTTCAGGGGAAAATTAATTAGCTTCCAGAGGATATTTGAACAACTTCCTGCAGAATGTTGGACAAATTTCGCAGGGAATTTTGATCGAATTTTAGAGGAGCTTGTATAACCTCCAAAGGTAGTTTGAATACCTTACAAAAGAAGCTTCAACATCTTCCAGAAGAAGCCTTTCAGAGGAAGATTAAACAGCTTCCAGAGGATATTAGAACAACTTCCTGAGGAATTTTGGACAACTTTCACTGGGAGTTTTTAGAACATCCAATGCATGATTGAACAACTTAAATGGTAATTTTGACAATTTCCTGAAAATGAAAAGGAAACTTTCTGAAATTTCAGAGGAAATTTTGACAACTTCCTGATGAAATTCGGACAACTTTCATAGAATGGTTGTAAACTCTCAGAGGAATTTTGGACAACTTTTGGAACTTCCAGGGAAAATTTGAGCTACTTAAGAAATAAATTTGGGAGAAGCTGGGTCATCTTTCAAAAGAAATTTACTGAACTTTCCAAGAAAACGGAGCTTGAACTCTTTCCAGGTGAAGTAAGGACAACTTCCAAATGAAGATTGGACAGCTTTTAACGGAAGAGGAAGTTTAGACAACTTTGAGAGAAAATTTAAAACTTTCTGATGAATTTTGAAGAAATACAGAAGAAATTTCATCAATTTTTTTCTTTTAATTCTACTACTTTTGTATCACTTTCACCAATTCTCTTTCACTAATTCACTATCACTATGAACTATAACGGATACGTATTTCGGTTACTACTTACAAACTTCTTCAGTGTCTAGAAGTTTGCAAGTAGTAAACGAAATACGTACCTGTTATAGTTCAAAGTGACAGTAAAAGTGAATTAGTGAAAGTAAAAGTGATACAAAAGTAGTAGAATTAAAAGGAAAAAATGACTAAAAAGGTAAAGAATTATTCTACTAAAACGCTCATCAATCAATGTACAGAAGAAATTGGGCAACTGCCAAAGGAAATTCAAACTACTACCTGAAGAAGTTGAGATAACATTCAAAAGAGATTTGATCAACTTCCTGAGGAAGATTGGGAAACTTTCAAAGGAAGTTTTCTGAACTTTCAGAGGAAATTTTGACAACTTTCAGAAGGAGTTTTAACAACCTTCAGAGGAAGTTTGAACAGCTTTAAGAGGAGCTTAAACACCTTCCAGATGAAGTTTGGAAAACTTTCAGAGCCAAATTGGACAACTTTCAGAGCAAGATTGGACAGCTTCCGGAGGAAACTTATATAACTACCTCAGAACGGTTGGACAACATTCAGAAGAAATTTGAACAACTTTCTGAAGAATTTTGAACAACTCTCGCAGGGAGTTTCCGGTTCATTCAAAGGGGAGTTTGAACATCATAAAAAGAGAAAAATTTGGACAATTTTCCGGGGGAAGTTTTGTCAACTTTCAAATAAAGTTACTGAATTTCCAGAGATAATTTAGGAAGCTTTCAGAGGAAGTTCGAACCAATTCCGGATGAAATTCGAAAAACTATCTGAGGCAGGTAAGACAACCTTCATAGTACATTTGAACAACTTCCTTCGGAATTTTTGACAACTTTCACTGGAAATTTTTGGAACATTCATGGGAAGTTTAAACAACTTATGAAGGTAACGAAGTTTGGGTAACTTTTAAAGTA